ACTCAACATTTAAACAAGACAAACATTAAGAAACCACCACAAATGTGTACATACGGCAGTAATCACGGAACTTTCATTATGACACCCTTGTGTTATTACACTGATAGCGGCGTATGGTGCACAAGTAAAAAGAATAAGTGTGTCTTGAACGAGAAAACAATGGGCGGAACTCAGAAAAATCAGCGGTTAAGAAGCCAGAATATTTAACATTGTCTACGCAATATCTTAGCAAATACGCGTGCTCTTCCGCAGATAAAATGCTGTTTTCATCATTTTATTTCGAATGTATTACTTATCACCCTTTGTTACATTGATAATCATGCAATATTTTGGAAGTGATAAAATGGTAAAATGTCACGTATTCGCCCGCTTTAGTTATGTCACAATTATTGGTGTTTTTGTCATTGATTATACTTAAAGCTGATAGAAAGATATGAGCCGTGTTACGACAAAACCAACATAATGGGTTTGCGACCAGCATGGATCCAGACCAGCCTGCGCATCCGCGCAGTCTGATCAGGATCCATGCTGTTCGCTTACCAACTCTATTACAAGTAGAGAAACTGATAGCGAACAGCATGGATCCTGATCAGACTGCGCGGAAGCGCAGGCTGGTCTGGATCCATGCTGGTCGCAAACGCACTATGTTGGTTTTGTCCTGACACGGCTCATATGGTATGGAAAGAGAAATTTAGCCTTCTATAATGCCCACAGTGTTGTTATGTTGAAAAAAATACGCCTAACTGTAACCGAGTTACAATATTAAGTTTGAAATGGACAGTTAATGAAAAATTAACCATGTAGTATAGATACAAATTTGCGATGTATTATCAAGCAATAAATGATAAATTAAATGTAAGACAGTAAATTACATGGATCGTAAAACTCATCACAAATTTTAATGTCAGAAACCAAGCAATGAAAGTTAATGGCGTCAAAACTGTGCAAAGGTCAAGTTACGTCACACACATGTGTCTATCGTCTGCGTTTCCTTTCCTTTTACCGTATAATAATAAAAATATGTTGTGGATTTAGGGCACTGTGTCATTTTACAGGATTTAATGCATCAGTTTAACAGAAAATTTGAGCCGCGTCACGACAAAACCAACATAGTGGGTTTGCGACCAGCATGGATTCAGACCAGCCTGTGCCTCCGCTATCAGTTTTTCTACTTGTAATAGGGTTTGTAAGCGAACAGCATGGATCCTGATCAGGCTGCGCGGAGGCGCAGGCTGGTCTGGATCCATGCTGGTCGCAAACCCATTATGTTGGTTTTGTCGTGACACGGCTCATTTGTCTTCATAACGACCGTAAGGAAACCTGTTACAGCTTCAAACACCATGACCCCACGGTTTTCAAAATATATCTACTCCATTACTTCCAAATTTAAACATGTAATTGATGTTTTGAACATGTGAAGTGACTATTTCATGACAATAATTTATTTACTCTGAGTTTTATGTGCCCTAGTTAGATGACAAGGCCAATCATTTTCATATACATATCATAGGTGGATGTTTTAAAAAATATCACCTTTAAAACAGCATGAAAATACTAAAAAATAAAATTCATAAACCCTCTACACAAATCAATACGCACTCCTACCGACGTTGTTAAAAGAATCTTTGATGTTTTTTTCCGTAATCTTTTCCCAACAGAAAACAGACTTCGTCGATGAAATTTATACGATATTTTAGTGAAATATATAGCTTGAGACAATTAGTTACAGACAATTTATCTTTTACCGCCAGATCAAACTAAGTGGTGCAAAAACATGTAAAGACATATAAGCACACGTTAGTTGACTTTTGTACAATTATATTTGGGATAAGGACATTAAAACTTTTGTATTCCACAGACTTGTTTTGGATTAAATTGAATTGAATTTCTTTAGACCGGAGGATAACCTACGAAAGTGCAAGCACCTATTTCAGTAGGGTCGATCCTTACCTCAGCAGACCCCAGAGACAGCTATGAGATACAAGGGGTCCCTAGCTCTGTTAGACCTTTAAAAAAATATCTCGGCAAAAAAACTAATTTTACTCTTCAACAGTCATGATTGACCCCAACACATATTAGCATCATAAGTCAAGAAATAATTTTAATGAAACATTTTTTGCTGTTTCATTAGAGTCTGTCAAGTTCGACGTTTACGAAATTCGAACACTAAAGAACAAACAAAACTCATAAAGACTTTCGTTTTTTTATTCAAACAAAACGTCCTCGGGTACAATTTGTTTTAAAATTCTATACAACAATATAATATAATATTTTAACAAACATCATGTTTATCTTCAAATAATCCACAAACATGTCGTATCACTTATATGAGCCGCGTCACGACAAAACCAACATAATGCCTTTGCGACCAGCATGGATCCAGACCAACCTGCGCATCCGCGCAGTCTGATCAGGTTCCATGCTGTTCGCTTACAAGCCCTATAACAACTTGAGAAACTGAAAGCGAACAGCATAGATCCTGATCAGACTGCGCGGATGCGCAGGCTGGTCTGGATCCATGCTGGTCGCAAACGCATTATGTTTGTTTTGTCATGGCGTGGCTCAATTATGTTCCTTTGTTGTTCTTCTTGTAATGCAAATACGCGTAAAGAAGACAAAATTTGTTTCAATCTGAAATATTTAATAAGATTTGACATGAATTGTCATTTGATATAAAGTTTTTTTCCAACGAGTTCAGATAAATGTTACTATAACATAATAGTATAATAAATAACATTGCCCTAAAGAGTTTCATAAATGTTTTTATCACATGGCAACTGAAATCACTTTCTTTTTTCGCATGACAAAATTAAAGCAAAACAATTTCATAACATCTTTATTTTCATTGATTTAGATAGACGCTAAATATTGAAGAATAGACTAGCCTCTATATTACACAGGTGTAATATAAAGACAAACGTAATGGTTATATTAAATAGAAAACACGGGAAGTCATATGATAAATAAATATTATCCTGTAAACCGTGCGATATGGCCAGTTATATCCACTAGCAATATAAGAAAACGAAAGCATTGACTAATGAATAGTAGGTCAAAATGAAATTTGATGTTATGTAAAGAATGATGTCAGTCAAACAAAAATGACAGGTCTTGGATTGAACAAAATAAAACTTTAGAACAACACACTTCAATAATTACAAAAAATCCTAGCGTCAAGAACTTAACGGATTCAAACTAACTGAATAAATCTTTATAAGTACATACATGTAACTACAATTTAACAATGTTGCAATCTGTCAATAACCAAAACTTTATTAATTATCACAGAAAAAATAACATTTATTCCTACAGTGCAGCACATGTTTAAAAATTGATTTCAAACAAAAAAAAACAACAAGACATTGCCCTATACAGCCATACACGTATATCATTTGTTATAAAGATTTTTGACAGGTTATAATCGATTGTTGTGCAACCGCTTTGCTATAACGGTATAGAAAACGTTGGTTTAAACACAGCCATATTATCTGTCAAAATTCTTTGAAACAAATATTTAATACTGCATGATATATGTTTTTATTTAAAAGACAATAATTCATAAATTTGCAGCAGACGAATATAAATCAGTTTAGCTGTGCGATTATCCAATGAAAATCGTTGTTACAAACATGCAGTATTGTATATATATATTGTCATATCTAAAAACTACAATGTGTTTAACGCAATTTTAACATTAATTATAAAGCATGAACAAAAGTAGCAAATAAATAAAATAATGATTCAAACACAACTTCAAAAATATGTAAATGTACTTTTTATATGTTTCGTTCACGTTACATTTGAGAGAAATGTAAAAGCACAAAAAAAATACCCTTATATGCCATCTTTATTGCAAAATTGATATTTTCGATTAAACACTCAGCATTTCCAGCGTTTTTCAATAGACTTGTTACCTCATTTCCATTGTTTCTATTTTTCCTTTTCATAAAAGATAACGTTTTGTTAGAAAATGTATATGTTAAACGCACATTTATCACACATCTTAAAAAGTTAGAAAAATGCCTATTGTTATTTTTATACATGATAGTTTGTGTTACAATCATATTGCAATCATTCTTCACCTAATAGGTGAGCAACAATGCGCTTCTTCGTGTCACTTGCTGATTAAAAAAAAAAAAAAAAAAAAAAAAAAAAAAAAACATCGGCTTTTATAACATTATAACAGAACAAATATTTTAAAAGAATAGAGCAAAATATCTAGTTTTTTTCAAACTTCAGAAAAAAAATGTAGTCACTTAAAACTACAATGTATTGCATTATGGTTATTCCTTATTATAAATTTGCATTTTAATGTAGCAATGTATCTAAATGCAAAGCAGAAGTTCACAGGAAACAATTAATTATTTTTAGACAGCTACAGATATTAAATGAGTTAATTAGAAAAGGGCAACGCATATGCTGCAAGTTAAACTTGTCTAACACAACGAATGGTCATAAAATAATATAAATTTATATCATAAAACTCGATGTCAAACAACTATAACACATCATTGCACCGAGACGTTTTGTCGTCTGCGCTATAAATATGCTATCTAACATGGCAACTTTAGTATCGTCGTTTTTAGGAGCCAACTCAGATGAACATTTTTTCTAGAAATGTCAAAATTGTGCATTTAAAAAAACACAACAAAGATAAAATGGCTTCTCTCCATCAATAATTATACATGACTGTATTGTCGTGGACAACTTTCAGTAGATTACTTAATACTTAAATGGACACCGGCGGAAATAAATTAATCACCCTCTTATTCACAAATAAACATGTGTCCCTATTTAACAATAAGTCATTTCTGTGTACCACTCAGTTTTTAGGCGGAAAGAAATTGTCTGTCCATCTCACATAAGCACTGCCATAAGCACTGATAATGTCTAAATGGATCTAAATCAACACAAATAACTTCACAATTTGCTTAATAATGCCTGTTATGTCATGACTGATGTGCAAATTGTAATGGTGATATATATTTTTATCGCTTGTGTTGTTTTTACTGTCGTGATAAATGATAAACAGAACAATCTATCATCATTTTACGTGTTTCTGTTCTGTTTAACAATAGTGATTTCTTTTTGTAAATCACAAAGCCTATTTCAGGACTCTATTATATTTGTGGACAGATCAAATGACGTTTGCATTTCAACAAGCCTAATCTTCTTACGAGCAACATTCTCCACCTGCTCGTTCATTTGCATATCTCACTTGAACTGTCATCCGAAGTTTGGCACGCTAACGAACAATGAAACCAACATTTATTTATGTCTAGAGTGATAACCATCTCATTGCCATTAAGGTTTTTTTTTATCTCATCATTTAACGCTTTGCGAAGCATGAAACATGCTTATGTTTTCTTCTTTACGCCTAGACTCCTTTCTGTTCTCAGATGTTTTTACTTAAAGATGGGTTTCTTCTATGTGAGAAAACAATCGCTCCATGTAGGTCTGTTTGATCATTCATTATATCATCAACAGAGAGCACGAGCATTGCTTCCATACCTGACTCATAAGGTGCATTTCGGTTAACTCGACGTTGAACTACTGGGGAAGAATTTTGAGGCATACCATTTGACCTTTGTTTTGTCTGTTGTTTACCGTTGTTCATAAAAGCAGGAAAGTCGGAATAACGCCTTGTTGAAGTTTCACGAATAACTGGGCCTTCCATGAATAAAGGTGTTCGCATCACAGGTTTTTGCTGGGCCTCGCTCAGTATCATTGTGTCAAAGTTATTGTTTTGGATGTTAAACCGCTGCATATTGTGCAGCTGAATACGTCTGATATCATTTAGAATATCGGCGAGTGATATGATCTGTTCTGACTGTCCTCTATTCAACCCTTGACGAAACCTATTAGGTGAAGTCCTTTGGACAAATGGTTGTAAGTTTGATCCTAATATTGTATTACGATTTGGACCCGACTGAAGGTTACGTGAAATTGTGTTCCGCATATCTGGAAATATTCTTTGTGACAAAGGTGTTGATACTTGATAACCTAGACGTTTAGTCGTAGGACTTTCTGTATAGTTTGGTATGTAAGACATAGTTGTGCCAAAGAAATCGCTTGGTCGTCTGTCCATCTTTAATGTAGAAGGAGCAATATTTTCAGAGACATGCAAAAAACGGTCAAATTTAGAATCAATTCCAGTAGTTTGCATTTGGTTAGGTGACACTGTACTTCTTCCACCAATGTTTCGATTTTTGTTGATATCTGTTAAATGTGTGCCTGATAAGATATCATTGACTAAATTCATTTCTGTGGTTGTCTGATAGTTACTCTGTGCATTACTTTTAAACTCGTTTACAGATGATGGTCCCCTTTCTCCACTTGATTTCCCAACACTTTCCGATGTCACTTTATTAAATGGTTTAAATGATTCAGGATTGATGGACTCCGTTGTAGCTTTTGACTCAGCAGCTTTGCTAAAAGTAGACGTTTTATGATTTGTGTCAAATGATTTTTCTTCCGAGTTATTTGGATAAGTAGAAGATTTTATGTCAGTCTTTGAACTTGATGGCTGAAGCTTTAACTCAAAATTAAATCTCGCCTCTGGCATTGTTCCATTTTGATGTTTTGAACTCGGTATATTCGACGTATTTGATAACGTTTTGTTTACAAGCGATCCTATAATAACTTTCATTTGATCAAATGGATCAGCCGCTTTTGCAATAAATGTCACAACATCTACTTCAGAGTCGTCATCAAGCTGTTTCTTTGGAGTTTCCTTTGTTGTTGTTGCATTGCTCGGTATACCGGCGGAATAGGGGAAGACTTTAGAAAAATTCAGAGACTCCCATGGAGATATAAATCTATCAATGGGTGACAAGAGAGTCTGGAGCGTAGTGTCGTTTACTTCTGAAAGTTTAAGGCCAGTTAAAGACGGAGTTGAACCACTATGTTGGTGATGAAGATGCCCATGATGATGTTGGTGAGGTCCATGAGCATGTGTGCTTTTTTCTTTGGCAGATTTTGTAGAAATATCAGAATTTATCACGTGACTGTGGCTATGGGATGAAGAGTGGACATGAGATGATCCCGTGGAGACATGTTCCGAATGACCAGTACTTGTTACTTTTGTTTCAGCTGTCGGTTGTACTAAAGCAGAATGACTTGCAGGATGATTCAAAGATGCACTTTTGATAGAGACTGATGGAGTCACATGCTCGGTTTTAAGGCCAGGAGCTTTTGTCTTAGTAAATGAAACTGGTTTATTATGTGGCATAGCCATGCGTTTTGTTGATTGGTTGTAGTGAAGTTCTAATGATTTGTTACTCCCAAACGGATACACAACAAGATATAAATGACCATCCCTTATTACAGCTGTGCCTGTGATTTTGTCAGTTATAGAACTGACGCTAGAAGATTGCGTTGGAGTGGATGGCATTCCTGAAGCCATATTAAGAAGATGATTTACATTCTCTGAAATAGACGCTGTAAGGTGCACGGTAGGTATTGTTCGCGAAGTATCCTGTTTTCCGTCAGAAAACATTATATGAATTCCTTGCAAATGAACCAACTCTTTTGGTGATGGTGAAACTATATCTGGACCTTTTGATTCCTGTTTGTTATGCATGTGTTGCGGCGTTTCATTATTTGTTTGTTTAATTGTGTTCTGGTGAACTCCCGAAAGACGTTTTATTTGCGTTTCTACACTTCTAGGTGTGGTAAGAAATCCTCTATATCTTGTTGGTTGAGTCGTTTGTACAATTGAATGAGGTGGAACTGTACTGCCTATTCGAATATTCAGTATATTATCAATAAATGTTTTAGAAAATCTTGATATCGATTCACTGTCGGCCACGCCTCGTTTTGTTATAGGCCGAGCATGTAAAGTAGACTGTCGGTAACGTATTCCCGGCGGACCTGGACTCGTGGTTGGAACTGTATTAACCTCATGATGCATATTGTTTCCATGGTGATGGTTACCATGACCATGACCATGATCACCATGGCTATGACCTCCATGACCTTGTGGTGCATGAGACGAATGTTGGTTGAACATACCGTTAAAAAGATTTCCGAGTCTTCTAGCTCCTTTTGAACCATGCAATTTGTCATTGATTGAATTTCCATGTGAACCACTGTTTGATTCAAAAGCCATGTTGATTCCGTGCTCATTACCTTCGTGACCATGACCTTGAGCATGATCATGAACCTGGTGACCATGATCATTAGAATGTGCATGATCATGACCTTGATGGACGTGATCTTGATGACCGTGTTCATGATTATTAGAATGACCGTGATGACTCATATCATGACCTTGGTTGTTGTTTGCTGAGCTTCCTAGACCTCCAAGTAAAAAATCTAAGTCCAGTGCCTTATTAGTGGATAAAAATGTGTCGGAATTTGTTACACTTGGAACTGTAGACGTATCTGCCATATCGCCTAATAATGTTTGTAAGTCTAAATTTATTTCATTTGATTGTTTAGGTATAGCATTGGACTGACTTCTTTCTTGAGATTGTCTATTTAAGAATTGTAGACCGTGCGGTAGTGCCTCTATTGGAAAGTGAACATTTCCATTAGGAATCGCTTCAGATGGTGGAGTCGGTGCATCTCTGTTTTGAAGGCTATGTAAAGTGTGCTCGTGATTATTCTCATGTTTACCGTTATTGTTATCATGTTTTCCATTACTATCACCATTATCACCATTTTCACTTTTCACGTCGGTTGAATTATTATATTCACTATTTGTTCTATCAACCAGCGATCGTAGTTCGACCGCCAGTCGCCCTGCCATTGCATCGTTAAAATGTCTGTGACTAGGGACTTCGTATACGGCCGCCGGATTAACGGGTGTTCCGTGGTTTTGAAAGAATGTGTTTCTAAATGATGACGGTTGTGATCCATCTTGGGATGACCGGTAGTGTATGTGCCGGCGGTGTCCGCCGGATGCATCATCTCTGTGGTAGTGTACAATATGTCCATTCTGTCCATAGTCGGAAGCTCTTAATGGAATACCTGAAATGATTAAAGAAACATTTAGTAACGGATTGCAAAGGAATATACGAATACTAACAGTTTTTGTTTAGTTGTATGAATAAAAGAACTATCAGTATATTTCGTTTGAAAAAAACAATTGTTTTACTTTTAATGATATTATCATGAAAAAGTGTTTTTACAAGAGAATGTTAACAAAATTTTGCACATTAAAAGTAATATTTCCAATAGGATTTATGATTTTTAAACATCAAGTTCAATTCATGAAGACAATCTTATTGGTAGTATTGATGTTTTTGAATGAGTAAATCACGATGTCACCATTAAAGCAATTTTAACTACTTAAATCGTTCTTATGTTTCAATATAAGATCACTGTGTCAAACGTAACGAGATGATGGTTATGATGGTTAACAATGACAAAGATATTGTAAGTTATGTAATAGAATCAAGGAGTTGATTCTTTAAGGCAATGTTCGATTTTGCGAGCACTTAAACAAAAACGAAAGAATTGTAAAGTGATAAAAATGACACTAAGTTTGAAATGACACCTTTTAATGTCAAGACATGTCATTGTTATTGTTTTTATATTTGTATTTTTGTTTTTTTATTCTTTTTTATTTTCATATTCAACATTTCTATCATAAGTACTTGTTTGAATTCTTAACATGGATGCTACCAGAGCGCATGCGTGGATAAAGGAAGTTGTTCCTCGCTAAATATTTGCGCGCCGACTGACATGGATAAAACCTGTTATTTGCAACACGTTCCTTTCAATCAATGTCAGCTTTGAAATATTTTTATGCAGTAAATTATCATATTATAATGAGCTAAAAATGTCTACTGAAACATAAAATATCTTAAATTAGCCAAAGATGTGATGGGCAATTGATGCAATACGGATCAATACATAATTATATTTTGATTTATTCACACGTTCGTAAATTCATATGAGCAAAGATTGCATCGCAGCGGTTATATTTTTTGCATCATGTTCGCGTTGACGAAACAGGTTTTAACCAAGTAAATTAGTATGTAAATTTTAAAGTTAACAAACTTAATGTCTTAGCATAAATGCTTTGTCTCGGAGATTATCCAAGAAAACTTTTAAGGATGTATTACAGTTTTGGAAATCATACTTGTTCTTGATTGTAAATCATAACTTTAGAATAAAAAAATAACAACGATAGAAAAGAACACAAAAATTACTACAAAATTACATTTGTTTTCTACTTTGAATTTAGCCTTGGTTTATACATGGATACTTTGCATAATTATGAAACATGTGATGTGTATATTTATCATGTATGACAGTCAAGAATGTTTAGGCATGCCTTAAAACTTCCTGACTATATCATAATTAATCATAAAAATGCCTGAGAAACGACATTTAAAAAATAAACAAAACAAAAAACCCTAACAAAACATCATATCGTAATTAAGAAAAATTATTATATTTATAAAAAAAAAAAAAATACGACTCTTCATATACATGTGTAATTTTGAAGATTGCATTTTTTTTACATGTGACATGCGTAGTGATACATATTTATTTAAAACCCCGCTTTCACGTGAAGGACGCCAGCTGTTTAATGTTGTAGTTAAATGAAAACTTATGATAGCTATACTTACTGCAAAGTATGCACAACTGTCAACAAACAATGCAAGTAAGAAAAATTAATTAGACGGTAAAAACTGCATAAAACTGCCGTATACAATTTAAGAGAAGCAGGGTGTGTTTATATAAAATACACTCGAATGAAACAAATTGTGCTAAATAATGTTAGTTTGTAAGAATAATGCAAATAATTAAAGAAAATCTTTATTTTCACCACAATGATTGTTAAACACCTAAGTAGCAAATAAAATTAAACCGTAAAAAGTATGAACTTATTCGATCTTCAGATGCTTCAAGGACGGGTAAATTAAAGAAGAAAAAAACAGAATCCCTAAAAAACGCAAAGGCAAAATTGAAATGTTCCAGATTCGGTTTGATTGAGCACGTTAAGCATCTCTTATAACCCACCCCCTTAGCACCGGCTTATGCATATTCAATCCTGAACATTGAAAGAACCGAAATCAATGATTTTAAAAGAAAAGGTACAATACTGAAAAGAAATACGTGAATTACGTGCACTTTCTAGCTGCACAGTAAAATGACTTTCTATCTGCACTGGTGTAGGAAGGTCTAAAATCGCCCCCGCCCACTCCCGATACACATTTTACAGTACCTGAGTAGCACCACCGACCTACTCAAAATTAGCTATCTCTCTAGTAATCATGATTAATACATATTAAATGTTTCATATCTTTCTTTTATCTTTACTTTTTTTTACCTCTTTCATCATTTTTATTTATTGCAAGTATGGATGTGTGTTTTTCCCCTTTGTCTGTAAAATGTTTCATATAATTGTATAATACTGAACAAGCGTGTGGATCATTCGAACAAAAAAATAAACTTTCAGTTTTTTTGCAGAAAGACCACTATTTTTTTTATTGGAGGTTTGAAATTATGTTATTCCTGAATGTTTTATTAGTACATGTATTATTATATAAAGAAAAACAGGTATGAAGAAGCAATATTTTTATATATATAAGTAAGGGAAAGCTGAAACATTTATACCTATACATTATCAAATGACACGTAACGTATGTGTCTGTTTTATTGTCATAAATTTACATAACGAAATACAAAACATTGTTGAGTAAAAATATGAAAACAAAAAAATTATACGTTGCTTCAAGAAAGCCAAGTTTTTTTTAGTTTTTTTGTTTTTGTTTTTCTTTCGTGTGTGTGTGTGTGTGTTTATCAAAATAGATGCTGAAGTATGAATGTTTATTTACTGAAACGTTAAGTGCACATTTAATTTTTTTTCTAATTTGAAATAAATAATGAATTGATAAGTGTTTCAAACACTGCAAACAACTTCATTCTTTGATTTTCTTTTTTTGTATCAGTCAGCTTATTTCCCGATTTCCATATAGTCCTTTCTTTTTTATTTGAGCAATGTTATACTTTGGGCAAAAGTCATCTTCTAGACCAAAAACTATAGGCCTTATTTTAAGGTAAAGAAAAAAAGAATCATATTCACCTATTTATGTGTAATAGATATTTTCGTTTTGACTGATCGTCCAACAGTCAATGAAACCGTTTCGTAACAAAACGTATCATACGATGTAGAAGTTAGTATCAAGTTAAAAGCACTTCAAATGATCGATCACACTCCGGGTTTATTTGATTTTTATAGAAGAAACGATCATGTTTTAGGGAAACTATAAACTATGATTTGTTGTTTCTGTGATTACGAGGGACTATAATGAGATCTTGCTCTAGTTTTGCCTTTATTTAAAGGTACAAAAAACAACAACAACATAGTTATAGTCCCTACTATAGAAACTAGAGAAAATTCACGGTGCGTCACTGTGACATCAACCAGTTATATCTTCGAGTAAGAACCTGCAAAATGTTATATGATATGATTGATAATCGATTGTTTAATGTATGTGAAATTTTTATCCGATTCTTACAGAGAAAAAAAATCCCAAAACATTTCATGCAAACAATTTATATATTTGCTGATAAGTTATAGATAATATAATGGCTAGATAAAAATCTTGGCCTAATTCATTTTTACGCAGACGATAAAACTTGAAATTGGTCTAAAGCTTAATGTCGAGGAAGAAGTTAGAAGACATTCCATGTGTTCATATTAAAGGAACTCCTCTGAGGTCCAAAGGCCTAAATACAAAAAAAATAAAAAATACCTTACACAGATCAACTTAAAAAAAGAAAAATACGCAAAATGATAAATAAGAAATAATATACTCAGACATAGATTGATAATCGTATTTTCTTTTTTAAGTTGATCTATTCGTGCCTGATTTAAGTAAAATCGTTGCAACGCTTTTCAATTTTGGGTCAACATTATTAGAATAATTATACTGGGAAAAAAACTGAGTGAGCAGATGATCTGAAATTTTGAACTTTGAGTTATTGGTCTAGACCTAGCTCAAATAAAACACCAATCCCTCCACTCTTGTCAAAAAACTTCAACGGACTTCCTTTAACAACTTTAACAATCAGAAATACATTTCTCTATTCTTTAATTAAAAGCTAAAAACTTTTCATTTCATGTTATATATTGCGCTTTAGATCAAGAGTTTTTTTTATTTACTATAAATGTATGCTTATTTTTATTAATTAACTCGTTCCGTATCCACGACTTATGCCATGTAGGCTTAAATGTATATATTACATAAATAAAAACTTCAAACAAGTTTGATTATTATTTCTATGGTAGATGATATAGGAATGATATAAAACAGATATCTAAGATACATTAAATATAAAAAGTAAATACAACTTTACCTGTTATGGTTAGAAAAACAGCTGATATTAATATTATGTGAACCGTCCAAAATATCATTTCTGAAACACAGTTAGTTCCATGTCCCCTTAAGTCGTTTTTCAATAAATAACTTCTCGGATTTATCTAAGGAAATATATTTCCACTTGTTTCCATTTTCAAGAATATTTTCCTCTTTGGGTAGATTGTTATTTCACGGAGTAAAAAGAAAAATAATGCGTTCCTCTTTTAACTAAACTATTACACGGCTACTAAAGCTGATTGCGTCCCACTAATTATTTAACTTTCGAACAATTTATATTAATATTGATAAAAAAAATCGTGTATTCGTCATCGCCTTCTTTGTTATTTTTAAAGCAGGTTTAATTGTTTAAATTCAGGACGTGATGTTTTTGTCTTTCCTACTTCGTGATATGATAAATCCAATTTCTGTTTGACAGATAACTTAACACTTGTGGTGACGTGCCTATATTCGATCTTCAAACGTCGAAAAAAAGACAAATTACTTCTTCAGTGAATAAAAAAAATAATTTGTACTTTATTTCATTTAAATCGAATGAAATTGCTCCGTCCCGTCGTTAGTGTTCGCCCTCTGTGCTTTCTGCGGATCCCTGAGATGTTATACTTGTCGGTTCACTGAAGTTTCTGCGGTACTCAACTGACTGTATCTCATTTTATTCATTAACACTCACGCTGACGTTTCAAATTAAACGTCGACCGGAATTTCAATGGTTAAACATGTCACAACGTTTCTAAAGTTTATTCCACAGGTAAAGCTTGTCCCGAGTAAATCAATCGCGAATCCGCCTCATGCCAGTTAACCACTTTTACTTATTGTTTCATGTCCCCGCTGACAATATATAAACATGTTGAGAGTAATAATGTCTTGTCTCGCTAATTTCTGTAAAATGGGATAGGTCAGCGCATGTCAAGTTGGTCTTACCTTTGTAAATTTAGCATTTTGTATAAGCTGTCACGTTAAATGGTGCAATTTGAATGCGATGTCCCGTGAATGCCGTGCACAATATTAAAATTGCATTAAAAAAAAAGAGAACGTCAAGAGTCGGCTATTATCAAATCAATTAAATGTATATAAAAGCCCATGCACAAATAATTTATCTGCTGAAAGATTCTATATTTTTGCAACATAGCAAGAGTTAGTACCTAACATTTCATGAACATTAACACCTTAATAAATTTTAAGCGGTGTTTTAATATCGTATTCACTTTGCGCTGCTAAATTTCTTAACGCTTCTGACAGTCCCTTTCTCGTGTAGTACCTATTGGTTTATATAGCCCTTTTAGCCAAACCAAAAATAGTGTAAGATTTGTTTGGCCAAAACGTTTACAATGCGCATCTTATTTTGGTAAAAATATTATATCGTTATTTTGTGTGTGATGTAGTTTCATGTACATCATTCAAAAAGTATATTTTCCTATAAACCACACCTAAGTAACATGTACTTTCCACGCTGCGTGAAAGAATTGAAGAATGACCCCCCCCCCCCCAAAAAAAAAAAAAAGGTTAGCATCAAATGATCAAAATTACGCAAAAACGGAATTCCAATGGAACCACATATTTGTATTTCTGATAGTTCGGACCCTGGGTTTATTTTTGGACGCGTTTGCATTAGAAAGCGTGGGATCAAACGCATTCCTTTCTTTATATTCCTTCACATTTTTTATTTCATACCTTCACATATCTTCATGGTTCATTATTCTAACACTATATTTTACTCTTGTTGTGTTTATACTTGATTAGCACTTACACTAATTGTGTTAAGTCCCGGTTGATACCGACATTTGTAACAACACTGCTAAACGAATATTTTGAATTCCAGAATGCTTTTTAAGAATTTTGGCTCATATCTTTGGATGACCGGACTTTCCTTTACAATGCACTTAGGATAAATGTACAAAATACACGTGTCTGTAGACACACAATGTTGCAATAAACTCAGAAGCGTAGGCGAAAGCAATGTCGCTTACTAAACTTGTTTTGTACCAAAGGAAAACTGTTCTTGGTTCGTTGGATTTTAAGTTACAAGAACATCGTGAAAGTCACTTGGCGACGTTTCGGCTTTATTCATGGAGGCACACCTCGGATGTGCCTTCGTGCGTTTTACTTTAGGCATGAGCGGGCACCTGAGTTGAACAACCGACCTTTCGTAAGCAAGTGTTAAAGACTGTGATCATACAGTTTGGATCTTTGTTGGTTTACTTTGCCAATTATAGCTAAGCATTATTTAATTAAAACCCTTATCCCGCTAAATATCTTAAATAGACCTGACTATCATTCATTCTAGACAAGACTATCCGTTATTTTTAGATGAATTTTCAAAAATATGTACTGAGAATGAGTATATGTAGAAATGTAGAGTGAACAGTGCAGACTACATGATCAAAGGGCTCGGGTGTCCGATCTGAACTTTTGCATTGGTTGTTTCTGTAACCATCAGGGTAAACTGGAGAATCTTTAATGTATTTCAAAGGTTCACGTTTCTTGAAACGGCAATGGGACTTAATATAATTTAATAATATAATATCTTACTTTACGTAGTAATAACTACATGTATATACTGTCATTTTTGTCCAATCACAACGTGTTATTTTTCAATGACAAATGTTTGTCTTTCAGTTCACTTTGAAATATTTCAAATATCTTCTGCATTAAATTGACACGTTGTCATTTCCTTATATAGTAACAGTTTACGATAATTTTATACCGATCTGTCATTGAGAAGATGCATCGTTTAATATATGTATATATAGATATATGCATAGATAATACATGACTTATTAAACACGCATAAAAACAAGTAATAATTAGTCAATAATGATTGCCGACTCGTAGGTGTTTTTACTGCGACTTTTTACGATGAACTGTCGATGATGTAAACATTACAAATCTGAGTCAGTCAATGTGTGCGTGAATTTGTGCGAGGGAATGAGTGAGAGAATGAGTGTGCGTGCATGCGTGTGTCAGCGGTGTAGCTTCTCATAGGCTACGGCCTATACTTTTCCAAGGAAAGTGACAAAAATACGTATTTGTCTACCTGATCATATCTATTTAGACTACAATGTATATTTATATGGCCACATACGCACCTGCAAAAAATAATTATAGGAAGCATGTCCCCATATCCCACTAACATGTTGTTTACATCTATTTTTAAACCAATCTACGCCTCTTTGAGGGAGTGTGTGTGAAAGTGAGTGAGAGAGTGTTCGAGTGAGAGAGTGAGCGTGAGTGAGAGTGATTGATTGATTGAGTGATTGAGTGAGTGAGTGAGTGTGTGAATGAGTGAGTGAATGAGTGAGTTGTAAAATAAATCAATAAATGAATCTTTAAATAAATGAATAAAATAATTCCTTTATGAAAGTTTTATTATTTTACATCAAAAATTCATGTTTGAAATTATTATGAAATACATGTTTTAAAAAGACATACACTTTTATTATTCGAGATCGAATTACTATAAATAAGCTCATGCAAGTACTTCCCATTTTTTTTGCTTCTGATTTTTAATTATACATATAACCGTTTGAATGTTTTTTGTGTGCAAAGGTTAATGAACCTAACTGACAAACTGGTTTTGCTCCTGATTTTTTTTTAAACATGTACTCGTTTGTATGTTTTAGCTTAAAGGTTTAAGAACCTGACTAACTGGCTTCGATAAACCGGATGTGCTGGCTGGTTGATATCCAGATTAGCCGGATGACTTTCTGGCTGGCTGAATGGCAGGCTTTCAACCAGGGTTTATTATACCTGGATGGATTAACTGGTCGACATGACTACTTTCTAGCTGACTGAAAAGACCAAAACCAACACAATTTTCATGTTTCGCTTTATTAGCTTAGTCAATTGGCTGAATGGCAGGCTTTCTGGCTGACGGATTAATTGACTAACTGGATGGTCTTTTAATGGCTGTGATGGCTTTCAGTCTGGCTGGGATGGCTGGATGATTTTCTGGCTGCCTGTATTGGATTGCTAGATGGCAAGCTCTCTGGCTTAGAAAGCTTTCTGACTGGCTGGGTTAGCTTGATGACTTTCGGACTGGTTTGGTGATTTTTCTAGATGGCAGGCTTTGTGACTGGCTGGATATGTCGACTAGTTAATTGACTTTCTGCCTGCACACATATTGTAGAAAATTTACATAGCTTATATTTCGTTCAAGTTATTTGTTTTTGAAAATGGAGAATTATACTTCAATATTATAGTAGAAAGTTAAATATTTATATGTACGATTACTTTTAAATATTTTCGAATAACACAATTTTCATTCATAATACCTACGTGCAAAAAGTTAACCCTTTGTCAAATGAATGGAAAATGATAAAGTGTAGATTTAAACGTTATATAAATAGGCAGACAGCCGTATGACTTTTTTCGGGACACTTGAGTACAGGACGATATCTTTAATTGTTTTTATTCACAATCCCCTGCTTTATGAAAGATAATTTCCGACAGCATTAAGGAACGGTCTTTTTTTTTAACAAACATAACAAGGTCACTTAAAAGCATTTTTATGTATGCATGCACTTAATCAAAATAAGCTGTCAAGCTGATGTAAACATAACAGAGGAAAGGACACATTTTTCGTAGCCGGTAATTCACAGTGACTTATTTTTCAATTCATTTTATTGCATGTTGTTACTAACATATAGTTCATAAATTGGTCAAGTCCAAGACACACATTGATGGATTGTTATGTTATGTTATGTTTTGTTTTGTTTTTATCCTTAAATAACTACCGAAAAAAGTATACAGCCGAACAGTATACAGTACTCAAACCTGGGTTCCTAGCGCTAACAGCGTTACAGATATCACGGACAACGTGTCAATCCATTCGCTTCCATTTCTTTTTTCATCGGTTGGTTTTGGACCGTGCCAACATTACTATAAACTTTGTGCTGGTTCAGTTTTAAAGTTTAAAGGTCACAAAAGATAACACCCAGTTGCCTTTCACCATCAGAATAACTTTTACAATATTAAAAATATAGATTCAATAATTATTACGTCTTCTACTACTATACCAATCACCCTGCATTCAACTGCAGCCTGAAAAAAGATTGGCAACATTTAGTTAAGTAAAATCGTTTTTTTTAATATGTTGATTCCAACAGATTACTAATAGCAAATAAAGAAATGCGCAACATTTTGAAATAACGCAAGGACTTAACTTCAAGATTTTGTTCGTATTAAAAAAAAGAAACAAATGAATATAGAAATAAAGAAAAATAAAGAAAGTAATTAAGATAAATAAATAAATAAATAAATAAATAAATAAATAAATAAATAAATAAATAAATAATAAAGAAAAATAAAGAAAGTAAATAAAATAAAAAAGTAAATAAAATAAATAAAAATAGAATAAAATAAAATAAAATAAATAAATAAATTAAATAATAAATAAATGAAATGCATCAAAAATTCTGTTTTAGAACACTTCTAACGTTAATAAAACTTTAACATCGTTGGATACATTTTTTATTTAGCCTACAGGCCTAAATACTCTCCCGTCCGCATTTTATTTAAAACGAAACCGGCTATTTTCAACATTTAATTAATTACATAATTAACCTACTTTTTAGTAAAAGCTTAAGTTATGGTGTTTCACGCTTTTATGTATCTCTAAAACAAGGACAATCTTGCGACAACAAACCTTCTCTTATTAAGTCAGCAAAACAACAACAACAAAATCTCCGAAAATAAGAGACGTTGATGGAGCGTTGTCAAAATGTGTAACTTGTAAAAATAATGAGACAAATATATTACGCTTTCACCGTTTGTCAACTGTCATGTAAACATGTGTAGATCGTCTGCATTGAGCCGGACTGCATGTTACTGACATTGGTTACAGGGTCACATCTTTATTA